TCTCTTGATTTCAGGATTTTTCATTGTCTTATAGATCTATAAACCTTCTTAGTTGCGTTAAAATTATTTAAAAGTTTCCGATTGAAAATAAAAGTTCTTAGCAAGCCCTTTATCAAAAAAAAAAAAGAAGTTCTTATACCAAATCTGAACTAAAACTCATGAATGACATGGCGGTGGACTTGTATTTATCAAATTTCAACACGAGAAGAATTTAATTCAGCTCAAATGTGTCATAAACCTATCTTACATCAAAAAGTTTTAATTTTTCTGTAAAGGAAAAGAAAACAAGTTTTAATTTTGTATTAAAATAATTAGTATTTGCTTATTTTTACGAAGTCTTTGTTTATGTTCGTAAGTTGCATATAAAAAGTTGAGTATTTTGTAACTGAGTAAGAAGAACTATACTTAACTATAAGGGTTGATTAATTATAGATGTTCTGGCAGCCAAAATTTAGTTTAAAATCATCTATGTCAATCAGTTAAGTTTTCTTTTAAAAACAATTACAGTAAATAATCTTTAAAAATATAAAAAATATGGTTGTAGAGAAATTTATATCAAAAACAAAAAATAGTTTTTTTACAAAGCTACAACAAATAAGTATAGAATTTAACTTTTTAAGTCCAAAAACACAAAGTTACTAATCATTCTATAGTTACCCCCGTTTAATTTATATACATATATTTCTGCATTAATCTTAGTTTTATTAACATGTTTGTTTTCTTCAAATATCACGTATACTTTGTGTTTTTAATTCCCTTATACTTTTGTGTCCAAGATTTGAATTATGTTTTGCAAGACTAAGGTCTCAATATTTTTTAAATTTGTCTCTCATACCGTCCATTTCTTTATTCTTATTAAATATAAGCTCTCAAAGCATTAGTCGAAAATTTAATGTAGTCATTCTGATAAATAAAACTATAGTTATAGTTGAATTAAAAAAATGGATCCTTATTTTTGTGGAGACTGGGTACAGCACCACCACCTTTATTCATTCTACTCATTGTGATTCTTCTACTTTGTTATACTAGCAACACCACCTCTATTCATTCCATGACCAAGTACTATGTGTTTTTACTATTCTATTTATCGACCATAGAATATAAATGTGACTTTAGATTATAATATAAATGTGACTTTAGTAGTTCAAAAGAAAAAGATTAGATAAATATGTGTTAGTTTTATTATTATATCTCTTAATCAATTAATTATTATACTACTGATTAAAACTAAACATTTACTAATGATTAATAGAATGTAAATCTTTCTTCCACTTTATGTGGTAGTTTCTTCTTCTCTTCCAATAACAATGACATAAATTTTATCAGTTTCTTCGCAAATTGAATTTCCTCTTACCTCTCATGCTTTTTCTTCACATTTCACATTAAAATTTAATATTTTGTTTTCGTCCATTTTCATGCAAAATTGTCACATCCCACTTCACACATCGAGATATAACCATATTCTTTATTTTTCTTCTATTATGTACATTTCACAAATTCACCCTTATTTTTATTTTCATGCTTACTTTTTCATGATATGTAAAGAAAACTTTATGCATATCACTTAGATTAAGGTTTTGACTGTTTATCTACCACTCAAAGTTTTAATCATTTTGTTTTTGGTTACTATGAAATTAAATGAAAATAATTTTTTTTTTCTTTTATGATTTTGTAAGAACAAATTAACTATGCTGATTTTAGTTTTAATTGCTGTTTTAATATTTTATTTTATTCTACACTTTTTTCTTATAAAATCTCTATAATATTATTTGACAAGTCAGTTTTCAATGTGTCGCATTCACATTATTTTTTTATAATGGCTAAATCACAACGACAACCTTAATAATTTTAAATTATTATATATAGTGCCATTATTAATATTTTATATTTTAGCTTTCCTTTTTACATTATAATATTTTAAATTAGATTATTAGTTTTTGTTTCTTTTTGATTATAGAGATGCTTTTTAAAAATTATATAAAAGGAAAATATACATAAAATAAAATATTGAACATACATATACATGAACGTAATTTCAAAAGATTATAACAATTTCCTATTTTAAATTTTTTTAATAATAATATTTTAACTAGATTATTAGCTTTAGTTTTTTTATTATAATGTTTGTTTTGATGAAATATGAAATTTATGGATCAACGTAGAAATAATATGTATTTACACAAGAGTAAAGAACCTAAAGATGAAAATATACAAGGCTGTAAAGAATGTTTTTAATCATGTATTAAGCTGAAACTTCAAATCAACAACCCAGCAAGCCTGCAAACTTCTGAGCAGACTTGTATTGAAGAGAAGTAATCACGTTGCGCATAACCAATTATAATGCTTTTTCTACATTATATACAAAAGGAAATATTCATAAAATAAAATTTGAACATATATATATATATATATATATATATATATATATATATATATATATATATATTTTTAAAAATACTGTCTTCAACTCTTTTTATAATACTATGTAAATATTAGTTCATAACGTTTCATGATCACTTTAATTAGTTCTAAAAATAATATACAATGACATTTTAAAGGATCTAAAAATTATGCATAATGCATTTTTAATATTTCACTTTGTATTTTTTCCTTTTTCAATTTTTTATTTAAAATGTATTTTTTGAATTTCTTTTTTATCAATGATAAAAATAAAAGTAAAAATATTCATAAAGAGTATGAAGATTATATATATAGATAGATATTTGAACTTAATTTGAAAAATAAATTTTACCAAATAATGTAAATATTTATATAAATTTTACTTTATATATATATCAAATAACGATAAAAGGAAAATAAATAAATAATATAAGTCGACTATGGAATATATATTGATCATTTCATCCTATCATAATCCTTTTATGTTTCAACTAACTTTAAATTAAATAATGAATTCAATGATTATATTACAATCAAAATTATGATTGTCAATTGATCCAATCTAAATTTAGATAACCCCATACAACTTTATTTTTGTAAAACAACATATAACTCATTATAAAATTACCCTAATATATATACAAATTACATTAAATTGAACTAAAGGCAGTTAACAAAATTGATTTGGTTTTATATATTTAGAACTCAAAATAGTTGTACTTTAGCTATATGGTTATCTCCAACATAATATACATTAAAATGATTAAGTAAATTTGTCATAATTTTATACATAAAATTGCATGTGTATAAGATAACAAATTATTATTATTAAAATACTTTTATTATATATATATAAGATATATTTCATAAGAAAATATAAACATAAATTAAGTATTACAATTTAATTATGCAGAAAATATTTATATATGTGCATAAACACAGAAAAATCACCTAATAACATGCTATATGGGGAAAATGTTTAAATTGGTACTCAGATATTTGCCATTTTCTAACATATACACTTAAAACAAAACCATCTATGCATGTGGCGTCTATCTTTGGGACTTGTTCAGAGGACCTACGTTATTTGCAAGATATTTTATAAGGGCAAGTTTGGAGATATCCCATCCGGTAGCAAGTCGAGTGAACCAAGTCACTCCTTGGTAACTGATGTTTCAAACATAGTCGGAGCGGCTAACACACCACCTCATGTGAGTCTAGTTTCAGAGATATTTCTATTCTTAAATACAAAATAAATATTACTTTCTCGAGTTCTTTTTAACATATTAATTAGAGCATCAGCATTATATATCCCTAGCCAAGGTTTCTCAGGATATAATGTAATATTTCAATTAATTCTTTAAGTGAAGGAAACAAGATGACAAATTTCATATGCGTCTAAAAAAAATATATATATATATATTTTTGTATTTATTTAATTAATTAATTTTAAGACTCTCCAGTAGATTAAGGATGGATATGCCATTAATTTCTCGACTTGTTACTTCAATCCCACGTCTTTTACATATTCAGGTTGAGCAGGCAGGTGAAGAAAGTTTATCAGGCTTCTCTGTGAATGATGTGACAATGCTAATGAATGAGCAAGAGGATATCTGTCCTTGGGATGCACTGCATGGTCCTATTCCAAATACATTGTTCATTGACAACAACCACAACCCTAACGTGCAGCTACAAGCTCCTTGCTTAGCACAAGACGATGATGAGTTTCTGAGTTTATTGACGCCTTTTAACCGCAAGCATGTTGAATTTTTGTTTACCGATGCTGAAGAAGTCATAACGCAAGAGAAGTGTGAGGAGTACATGCTAAAATGGCTTTGCTGATTATAGCAGAAAGAGAGATAAGTACTGTGCTGTAGGTAAAGCACCTCAACCCTTTTTTTCTTTTCTTTTTTTTAATTATTACTTTTATGAAACTCTATCTATACTAATACTGTTCGGTGTTTTATTACTTTTATAGACCACATCGTTAATTCGTTATGCAAATACTAATGTGGTAAAGATGCACAAAACATATGCAGACGTTGGTTCTACAACTCTAAGCAGCTCCACAACCTCTATAGCTTACAGGTTTGCTCATAGTATTGTGCTCTGTATGTATGTATATATGTATCTCTTCAAAACTGGGGAAAATGGCGTTACTTGTGCCTTAAGATAATGCATTTTAGAGTTTGTAAACTCATTTTCAATGTAAAAGAGCTCCTGAAGCTTATCTAAAAAAGAGTAAATTAAATAAAAGTGTGTCAAGAGCCTTACATGTATTTTTATAAACCTGTGGCCGCAAAACAGAAACCTAAACAACTCTGTTTTGATTTAGTTGTTTATTTTGGTTCATGTCACTTTTTTCTTACTGTTGTTTTCTTACATGGCCAGATAAAGTCACAAAGTTTTTCTACAACTATAAGCAGCTCCATAATCTTTGTAGCTTACAGGTTTGGTTATGGTACTCTGCTGTGTATGGATGCATCTCTTCAAATTGGGAAACTGGCGTTACTTGTGCCTGAAGTTACTGCCTTTTAGGGTTTGTAATCTTTAATTTCACTGTAACAGAGTTGTTGAACCATCAAAAAGGGAGTGGATTAAAATAAAAGTGTGTCAAGATCCGTACATTAATCTTTATGAGCATATGATCAAAGTTAAAACCCCATATGACGATTATAAGATCACAAGTTTCTGAAAAGAAACGGCAGATACATCACAGATCCCAAGTGTTTCAATGACCTTGACCCAGAGATTTGATCTGCCAAGAACTTTATTGAATGTGCCATGAAACACGCAGCTAAGCATCGGCTCGTTGTTGATTCAGTCATAACTGGCAACAGCATGAGAGATTCAGGGTCAGAAAGATAAGACTTAAGTGACGAAAAAGAATTGAGACAGAACAGAAGATCTAAAACCTTTAAGAGCAACTGCGTTTGATGTTAATACAAGCATATCAATAATGAAGATAACCGAAACCGGGAACTCCCATACCTGTAACCAGATTTACATACATTATCACATCAATAGACTTCTATCTAATTTAGTACGAGTGCATAGAGAAGAAGCTATTCTGGTTCATCATGATACAGAAACAAGATTCTGAGACAATGTACATGTAACATACCGGCATAGCAAACAGAAAGATCTTGATGTAACTGGAGATAAATATCCCCAAAAGAATCTCTTTCCTTCTGCAATACATATACATACTAAGTTATCATCACTAACATAGAGATAAGACTTTGGTTGTGAAATTCATTATAAATAAACCGTACTATATACCTTGAAGCACCGATTGATATAATCTTGGACGCAAGTACAAATGATACAACAAATGCAAAGTTTGCAGACAAGACATTAACCAGAACCTGTTCAATGAATTATAATGACTTATTATATCATCCTAAATTCCTAATAGACCAAAAACCAATACAGCTTCAAGGAAGAACCAACAAACCTCTAGAGGTGCAAGAATAGAGTTCAAGGGCAGGCTTGACTCATCATTAGTTCTTCGCAATAGCAAGCTTCTATCTTTAAATTTGTTAAAGGCTCTCCAAAATAATCAGCTCTGTATAGTTACTATACAAAACAAAACAAAAGGATACAAGTATCTAGAAGAAGATAAGCCAAGACCAGTTTCCACAACAGATGCTGCCAAATTGTGAAACCTTCTGAAGATCAGATAACAGAGACCAAACACAGAGTAATGTGTCTGATTAAGTAAAGAAAAGCTGTTTAAGCATTCATGAACTGAAGTAAAGTGTCTGCCTTTATTATTTTACCTGAACGTAGACAGTTTCTTGAGAGAACACATTGAAGAGTAAATGTCTATAAGCCTTTGTTTTGTGAAGAACCAAGTCAATGAATATAATCTGAGAAATAAAACAAAATCAAATTTTGATGGAAACCCAAGAAGCAGAAGATCATCAACTGAATATTTAAAAAAGACAGACCATTAGCTCACACTCGATGTATTCGTCTGCTACTTCATCGCAATTCTCCTACAAAGATGTAAACTTTTATGAGAAAAATCAGTAGAAATTAAGAACCCTAATTTTAGTTTTTGGTGAAATAAAAAAAAAGCTTACGCATTTCATGAGACGAAAGTTGCCAGGAGAGTATTGGATTAACAATGATTTAACTCTGTGACCACACTCCACACACCTCTTCTCTCTCGCCATCTCCCTACAAGTTTCATTTTGAGATCTATTCTCAGTGTTTGGTCTCTTCATCGCTACTGGTCCTTCACGGGCTACGGGTTTCATATTCGGAGTATAAATGATGGGTCTTTGTTCAGTCTCATTTTTATATCACGGTTAAATACAGTTCTATCAGCCCTATGTGGTGTTATTTTCCGTCTACATTGAGAAGCCCCCTTGCATAGTAAACAGTTTGAAAACCATCGTATACGCTGTTCCTTAGACCATGTGCATCAATGAACCCGCTTTGGGGTTCACGATTTTAGTTTTTTATTATTATTTTTTAATTTTTTTTGTTTGACTTTTAAAAAAAAATGGACCAATAGAAGACTATCACATGGCGTGGGGTCCGCAAAAGAATCATGAATCGGATTCATCCGGAGCAAGCGTTGCGAGCCGAATTCATCAAAAGTAATTATTATAATTTTTTTTTTACGGAGAAATGTGTGAACTTGTGGCATGAAGTCTTGATGTGTATAAATCATCAAAAATTCATAGATCTTTGTATGTCTCTGGTACATATTCTTTTTATTGTCTTTACTATTGTTTTGATGGCTCGAGAATATATGTAAATTAATAAACTCTGAGTGATGTTATCTAGCAATAGTTGTTTTGTTTAAGGTGATGGTTTCATTTAACAATTACAAAGAACATATGTAATGCCGATGTTAAATATTTTTATGTGCACCTGACAAATAGTCTTTGAAAACCAATACTAATTTATATTAAAACCATCAATGGACTGAGTTAATAACAGAACCTAAAGCAAGACAAACAATTTGGTATTTCACATGAACATTGAAAATGGAATAGGAAAATCTCAACTTTTACCGCTGATTTGACTCATGACAAATCAGATAACACAAGAGTGTTGTTCTCAATTCTCCGGATTAGCCCTTCAAAGTGACGATAGAGGTGGTGTCCAGAACTGAGCAATTTTAACCTTTGAAGCAATCCACTACTTGTAAGGGAGTGATGTCTCCAGTCACACACCTCTGAATAAATATTAATTTGTACGATGTCACACCTACGTGTTTGTCAAATACAATTATAATTACACAATAGTGACACACATAAGATGATTAGAGTTGGCCTTACTATCGGGTCTTTTGGATGCTTATTGATCGTTCCAGTGTAATATTTCACACCATCACGATACTCCTTCACTTTGGAGAACTCATTACATGTACTATAGGCACATCAGGATATCATTATAACTTTCTTTAACCACAATACCTTTCTCATGTTCCGCCTCACCAATTTTGGATCAAATTACTCTTCATGCGCTAACTCTTTCTTGACTCATGAGTGCCTCATTCAGCTCTCGAGAATTATGCCATCTTCCCCAGATCTGTTCCCTCCCTAGAGCAAAGCTTTACCTACTATCTTGTAATCTGAACTAAGCTTTCTACCTCTTTCAACAGCCTTATCACAATCCTTGAGGCACTCATTACACTTAATCAAGCACATTCACATTTAGACTCAACCTCTTTGCCAAGAAAATCACTGTAAGCTAATACAAATGAAACTATACCTTCACCCATCATATTAAATCAAACATGATCTAAATAAATTAACCACAATACTAAACATATCAATATCGACTAATATACAAAAAAAAACATTTAGGAACTCATAATACTGAGTCAAACATGATCACATTTATACTCAACCATGGACCAAGAAAATCAGATAAAAACTGTAGACTAACATAGAGACTATACCTTTGTCATCTCCAGATGAACAGCAGCACGATCTGTGATAAAGAGATATCTTCCTTATCAATTTCCATGGTTGTGAGTAATTCTTGATAGTGTTTTAAAGGCCTTGTATTCCGCATTCCCATCTCTATCTCTTTTAAAGCTTTACGCTTCCTCTCTCCTTTTCTTCTCCAAACTACGGCTCAGGTTCATGCTCCTGTTTTTGTTTCTTCTCTACCTCATGCTCCTTCTTTAGAGGCATGCACAACCATCTTATCTTCTCAATCCACAGCTGCTTCACCCGCCTGTGTCCTGAAATTAACAATCTAATAAATTCCAAAAGGTTGGATCACCATCTAGCTGAAGAAGAAATAAATCATTGTGTAAGTCTAAGCAACAAAATTTTTTAGCTCCAGCTGCTCCTAGAGAGACATGAGCGTGTTCACATGACGATCCACAACTGTAAACAACCTTCAGGTATTGTTACCTTACATGTTCTTTCTAATACCATGTTAGAACCCTTTATTCCATTTTTCAATCCTACTTTTAGGTATGACAGTCCAGCTGGTCCACTTTTATGCCCTTTGCCACTACCAGCTTGGCCTCTGCCTCAACCACTTCTCACAACACCTCCATGTTGGTTTTAGCTGCCACTAAATATGATATAATTAGATGATAAAACCGCCGCCAAGTTGATACGAATGTGAGCTCAATCATTAACACTTACATTTGTAGGCATTATACTTAAGAAGCTGCATCTCTTCCTAGTCTTCATCTCCCGCCTCCAATTCACTGTCTGCAATAACATTGGCTTTTCAAAGTCCTTTCGAGTGCAATCATCAAAGAATCAACTTGCATAATCAATTTTGCTGTTGTGTTGGAAAAACAAACAAACAAACAACAAGATATACCCAATGGAAACAGCTAGGGAGATTAGAGATGAAGGAATTTGATACACCAATACAAATTGATGAACCACAATAATTTACCTGATATGGGTTCTGAATTTTCTTAATAGCTTCAATTGCTATCTCATTCCCCATATTTTTCGAGATGGACCAGCATCGCCTAACAAAAGCTTACAAACTTAATATGTGTTTTACTTGCATATGAACCCGTTAATCACCGAGTCCTGCAGGAAAATAAAAGAAGATAATATATTTGGAGGTTTTCATATATGAAGAAGCGAAAAGCTGGGTTCTGGACTAAAAATAGCAAGGAAATAGATTCAAAACAATACAAACCAATTCATAGTGGAGGAGAATCGTTATCCCCATAAACTATCCATTCTTTTTGATGTTTTGGAAATCCCAAAAACGAATGAGGCATCTAGCAACGTACTGAGCAATTCTTCCGAGGCGAAGAGAGTCGAAAGTGGAGTAGGATCCTCAGGAAGAATCACAGCATTAGTCTCAACATCGAAATGATTATCAGAATCTGACTTGGACGACGAACCCTCAACCATCATAAATATCTTGCCATCACCAATAGGGAAATGCCAAACGATGGACAAGTCATTATCATCAGACGAATCATCAGGAACTACAACCGACAAAAGTAAGAGATTATGAAGATTGTCATACACTTTATCAATATTAAATACCATGAGGATTTAATTGGAAAAGAAGAAAGTCTAACAAGAAAAGAATTATTAAAAGAGAAATGAAAAAAAAAAACATGAAAAAAAACAGAACAATGAAGAAAGAAGAAAAGAAATATAAAAAGACACTAAAACCAAGAAACATAATAATTATGAACCACATAACGATTCATATTCGAATAAAATACCTCAAAACCTACACTCAAATCTTGCAATTAATTCGCCAAACCAGAATCTCAAATCAGGTTTTGAAACTTAGAAACCATTGGTCTCAAATACTTCACCAAAGTCGAAATTGGCATCTGATATATCTGACGACCTAAGACACGCCGGCTGGGGAGCTATCATTGGAGGCACGTTTCACCTCATTTTAAACCCGATCTAATAGCATGATCCAATATCACACAATAAGCCGACGAAGGATGACTGCTCATCCCGAGCTAAGATAATAGTCAGCGTCTTCCACGCAGTTAAACTAAAAATTAAATGAGAAGCATTAAACCCGATCATAAAGGCACCATATACTAGTCAAAGATCACGTAACGTTATGATTCATCCCTAAACACCTATAAAAGGGGGATCGTTGAGAAGGAGAGGGTCACCACAGCTGTATTACATCTTTACTATCTATAAACATACACATTTCTCATACAAAATTATCAGTGATATATTTTTTTATAAATTACTTTCTAAATATGATGTTATAAACAAATTATATTTTCTAGTGCATTTTGAAATCCCACATTAGCAGCATTGGATACATGGTGACACATAGTGAGGCCTAGTGGGAGTTGAACATAAAAATATTGATTTTAAAAGTGTAAAGATTTACTAAAGAAATTATGGCAAACGTCTGGTGATGTAAGAAAAATCAGTCAGTCCCTTAGTTTTGAAGTTCCAAGTAATTTTAATACTTGGCCACTTGTAAATTGACAATAGGAAATGAAAAAAGTGCAAATTTGCAATATAGACTTTGGCGGCTAGCCAATACGGAGGTTTGCGAGAACAAGACCTGTGGCTGAGAAACATTAGTAATATAACTTTTTTTGGAGTAAAACTAGTACAAATTAGTAAAATTAGTAATATAACTTATACGAGAATAATTCTCTTTTTAGAATAACTAGGTGATTTTCCCGTGCTCATGCACGGGTATGAATATTTATAAAAGTAAAATTTTATAATAATTGATGATATTTAGATTTAATTTTGAATAAATTTATATGTATAATTTATATTAATAAATATTATATTATTCTACTTATACATATGACTTTAGATATATTATTGTCGGTTTAATTATTTTTTGGATCAATAGTTGATTTGGTTATCAATTTGATATATTGGATAATATCCATTTTTCGAATTTAGCTATAATATTTTTTTATTATAAATATAATAAAACCTTGATTAATTTTCATATTTTTTGGTTGGTTATTGTCTTAAATATGTAAATATACTATAGTTAAATTATGTATAACTTAATATATATTGTGCTTAAAATGAAATAAATAATAATCTGAAGTGTTTAATTCACAATTACATAAATGAATATAATGATAATATTTTGAAGTCTCATGAATATATATAAATTCTACAAAAGAATTGAATTGTAAATGGTTAATATTTTTTTTTTTTTTTAATGTGCTTTGAGTCAACCTCTAATTTATATATATATATATAATTAAATAGATTATTATTATTATTATTATTATTATTATTATTATTATAAAATTATATGCTCTTATTCTAGTTAGATATTTAATTTTGGATATAAATTAA